CCCGGCCCGGTCGGCCCGACCCGGCCCGACCCAACCTTGTCCATGGGTCGGGCTCGAGCCTAGGTTTTGAGCCCGAAGCCCGGGCCGGGCCCGAGCCCGTCGATTTCGTCATTTAAGGAAAAGGCCCGGCCCGTGGCCCGAGGCCCGACGGGCTTTTAGTGTGATGGGCCGGGGTCGGGCCCGATTTTTAGGCCCGACGGCCGGGCCGGGCCGGGCTCGGGCCTGGGTTTTTTGCGTCAGGCTTTGGTTGGCCTGGTCCGAAGCCCGACCCGGCCCGAGGAATGGCCAGGTATAGTGGGGGGCAAATTAGGGAGGGGCAGGTCAGTCCGTAGGAGTGATTCTGTAAAAACGGCCCGTATGTTGAGCATTTTCGCGGCGCGGTGAGCTAGGGCACGGCCGCGGGGGATTGGGTTACCTTCCTCTTTTTTTTTCCTACTATAAGCTCAGTGTGGTAAACGCTTTTCTTTACGTATAATTTTGGGCAGCAAATATGCATCTCCATTCACTGTTACAAAGTACTCTCTGATTCGGATGTACTTCTTCCGTTTCAAATTATTTGTCACAGAAACGAATGTATTTAGACTAAAATACATCTAGATATATTCATACCTGCGACAAGTAATTCGGAACAGAGAGAGTATATAAACGAATTTTAGTGTCTTCACCTACTTTAGTATGTATGCATTAGTAGTTTATATTAAAATATCTAAATATTTGTGAGCGGAAGGAAGCAGAAGTTTATATACTCCCTTGATTCATAAGTATAAGATGTTCTAACTTTTTTCCTAAATATATGTTTTGGTGTGCTCGTTCACTCATTTCAGTCCATACAATGTATATTGAAATATTTTATTTGTTATTATGACTGTTTTGAAACAAAGACACTCAAAACTAGTTGATGGCTGACCCCCCCCCCCCTCTTTCGGTGCCAATAAAATCGCCCATCTGCCACCCATCAACCCTCTTTCGAGACCCCAGCATCCCCTTCTTCTTTGGTACCAATAAAATCGCCCATCTACCACCCACCAACCCTCTTTCCAGACGTCGCCATCCCTTCCTTCTTCGTTACCAATAAAATCGCCCATCTGCCACCCATCAACTCTTTTCCAGACCCCGCCAGACAGCATGGTACTTTTCGGATCTCCGACGATGACATGGTAGTTGTCGGTCCTGGCTCTTCACCCCATCTCCACTTCGCCTCACTTAGCGTTAGATACATTCATTTGAGTGACAAGTAATTTAGGACAGATGGAGTAGCAAGCAGGGTCTACATCAACCAGAATACTCTCGGGTTTTATACCTCAATCTCAATACCTGGGATGTAAATGGCATGATAAACGGTGCCGCAAGGCCCGTTTAGTTGCTCGATAGTTCATTTTGTCATGAAAAGAAACTTGTTTAACTGGTAGGCCAATAAGTGGGCTTAAATGGGTTTAAACACGCGCCATTTACATACTTATCAATACCTCAACTTGATTTTACAGCCTACAGAAACAAAACATGAGTCAACTCCATCTTATGATACAATAAGCAACGGTGTAGGCAAAAATGGCAATCAAGTAAAACAACTGATACTTCATTCACCTACTGGGTACAACCAGGATTGAGATCTGGGGTTCTAAATGGAGTTAACTTAGAAGAGCATAACCTGCCACCAGTTTCTTCATGCACGCAAGCAGCAAGAATGAAAGGATCGATATGGTTGACTAGAGGGGGGGTGAATAGGCAACTACCAATTTTTAGCTTTTCTTTACCAAATTAATCTTTGCATCAAAGTAGGTTGTCTAGATGTGCAACTAGGTGAACAACCTATATGATGCAACAACAACAAGCACACAAGCAAGCAAGGGAACAAACACTAAAGAGCTTGCACAAGTAAAGGTAAGAGATAACCAAGAGTGGATCCGGTGAAGACGAGGATGTGTTACCGAAGTTCCTTCCTTTTGAGGGGAAGTACGTCTCCGTTGGAGCGGTGTGGAGGCACAATGCTCCCCAAGAAGCCACTAGGGCCACCGTATTCTCCTCACGCCCTCACACAATGCGAGATGCCGTGATTCCACTATTGGTGCCCTTGAAGGCGGCGACCGAACCTTTACAAACAAGGTTGGGGCAAACTCCACAACTTAATCGAAGGCTCCCAACAAGACCACGAAGCTTCACCACAATGGAATATGGCTTCGAGGTGACCTCAACCGTCTAGGATGCTCAAACACCCAAGAGTAACAAGATCCGCTAAGGATGAGTGGGGGAATCAAAAATCTCTCGGCGGAAGTGTAGATCGGGGCCTTCTCAACCACTCCTGAGCAAATCAACAAGTTTGGTTGGCTAGGGAGTGAGATCGGACGAAAATGGAGTTTGGAGCAATAATGGAGCTTTAATGGTGGAAGAGGTAGGTCAAAGGAGGGAAGAAGACACCCTTTTATAGTGGGGGGAACAATCCAACCGTTACCCCCCACTCAGCCCCGCAGAGAGCGGTACTACCGCGGGAGCAGGGCGGTACTACCGCTCATAAGCGGTACTACCGCTCCACCTCAGCGGTACTGCCGCGCTAGAAGAGAAGAGGCTGGGGCTGGGACCCAGAGCGGTACTACCGCGGAGGCAGGGCGGTACTACCGCTCGCAAGCAGCACTACCGCCACTACTACTGCAGCTAGTACCGTAAAACCCGACACGAGAAAATGCGCACTCGAGTCGAGGCGGTAGGAGCACGGAGCCACGGCGGTACTGCGGCTGAGGCCATCCAGCGGTACTACCGCTTGCTGAGCTTCAGCCGTACTACCGCTATACTGCAGCTAGTGCCGTAAAACCCGACACGAGAAAATGCGCACTCGAGTCGAGGCGGTAGGAACACGGAGCCGCAGCGGTACTGATGCTAAGACCATAAAGCGGTATTACCGCTCCGAGGAGCGGTACTGCCGCTTAGTGAGTCTCAGCGGTACTACCGCTGTGGCCCGCGGTACTACCGCTGGGTCCAGGAAAACACGCATAGAGGAGAAAAGAGGAGCATCAGAGAGACGGAAAGAAACGGTGGGTGAGAGAAGAACGTGTACGTGTTGATTCCACCCAAACCATACCGAAGCAGATCCCCTCTTGATAGTACGGTGACTACTACGAAACTTAGTCCACCAACAAAGTCACAAAGGAAGCTACACCGTCTTGAGTAGAGCGCCGAGGGGAAATAATCGTTTCGTGCCGAAGGATGAATATCTGAAAGAACTCAAAGCACCCGATTAGTCCGCAAATGCATTGTCATCAATCACCAAAACACCATAGAGATAACTATGCCCTTACAAAGAAGGTATAGCAAGTATAGCTAGTACAACATACGGAGTATGTAGTACTACAATTAGGTGTCTACTAGGTAGCAGCAACCAGCACCTTCACATAAGCATCATGTCCATACATTAACGACGGCCGAAACCATAACTCAACATTCCATATACAATAAGCTTATGCTCCTACAGACATTCCCTATCAGTAAGATACCGGCTCCGTTACATAACGGCGGGAAGATGACATAACCACGACCATCGATATCAGCAAGCAGAGAGGCAGCAACCAGCCACCCGGGACCACCGCCTTTCCCCTTCGAGAATTACTGGGCTTGAATTTCCCTCGCTCCCACTTGCCAGGTGTATCCTTTGCATCGACCACAGCTCGTTGTTCACGGCTAGCTTTCCCCCATCTCCTGCGACGTTGATACCTCTCCTGATGAATGGGCTTGAATCTCACTTGCAGCCACCCATGGGCTGTATTCTTTGTCTCGATTGGCTTCTCACAAGTTTCAAATGTTGCCTTTGATCTTTTTTGGCCGCTGGCATCTCCAAGAAACCTTTCTTTTGGTATCAGTGTTGATGGCACAATTTGCGTGACGCTGAAACAATTGAACCAAGTATAAAATTAAGATCAGTAAAGGGCTCCTTTCAATAATAAAGAAGAGAGGTGACTTATTTTCTTGTACTTGTCCAAAGCTTGAACGACATCACTGATTTTGCTACGCATGGCTTCAACAGATGCTGATGGATCACTCGGTGATCCGTGTAGAGCCAAATCAAAATCTTCCAAAGCTCTAGTAAACAGCAAACATTATGATCAGATATAAAGGTAAGTTTATTTCACAAACAAATGCCTGGTTTCCTCATCTATATACCTTAGGCAAAAATCTACAGCCTTTGATGCAGCTTCATCTTGACCATTATGGGAAGCATATTTTAC